CCTAACTTTTGAAGCTGATTACGACCGTCGGTGGTCTTCTTCAGAAGTTTCAGGGCGGACTTTCCTACGGAGGCTCAAATGCGTATAGCTTTACCAAAAAGTCCCCATCGTTCAAAATCGAAGAACTCTTCGCTCTTTTTGTCTGTCCGACGTTAAGTCCTGGTTGCTTTTACTGCTTGCATGGTTTCTTCCCCGCCAGCTGCCTGAGTGAGCAGGATGATTTCGTCGAATGAACGTTTGAGCTTGTTCTTTTCTTCATTTGCTTCGAGAATTTTTGGTTGCGATGGAATACAAACTTCAATTGTCTGCAACTAAGAGGACCCTGACCAGCTGCAAATTTTTTCATTCAGCTGCTGCTACTGGTCGCGTTGTATGATCGGCTGAGTTTCGATGAGTCAAAACGTGTTTCCACTTGTCAGCTGGTAGCATCTGTTCAACGTTGGCAATGTGGTTGGCCACAAAAGTTGATCTGATCCAAGCAAGTGCTATTGTTGAATCACTCCATGCGCTGACATCTACCGTCAATTGCAAAGTCTTGATTGACTTCAAGACACATTTCAGGAGTTTACAGCCCAGAACCATTGAACAAAGCTCAAGTCTTGGAATGCAAACTGTCTTCCTTGGTGCAAGTCGTGACTTGGCGGCTAGCAATGAAGTGTGGCTTCCTGCGTCTGAAGTTGTTCTGGCATAGATAGCTGCTCCATAAGCCATCTCTGATGCATCGCAGAAGAGATAAAGATTGACTTGCTGAAAGCTGTCCCTGGCCAAGTACCGAGATACAGCCAGGGAAGATAAGTTCGAAGCTATCCATCCAGTGTTAGAACTGGTTCGCTATATGTGCCCCAACAATATCATCCCATACCAAATCCCTGTCCCATCTTTTTTGGACTAAATCTTCGGCATTATCGTTACAGGGTCACTAGTCCAAGGTGATCAAAAACTCGTACCAAATTGCTAGCTATGATCCGGCGAGTGACTGTAGCAGTTCGAATACTTTCGGGCAAAGCTAATGAGCAGGTCTCGATCAATGTAGATGGATTTATGCGTGTCTTTCTTCTTATTTTAGCGCGATTTAGCTGACCAGAGGATCCTGTATGTGTTTTCTGCAAATTAAACAACTTTGAGTGAAACGTCCGAAAATATCTTGGGGCATGGTTGAAACGCGTTCTTGCCCTTTTTGTTGGGTTGGTTTTTGAATTTTTCAGTTTGAAAATTTCCGTCGAAGCAAATTCAGGCTCCTGTTACCTGGGCTCGATTTTTGCAAAAAATTTTCGTATGAGGCATCTGGATGATTCCTGTCAGTCGCGAGTGAAGTGTGCTGATAGCCGGTTTGCTCCCATTTTTTGATTTTTTGATCGGAAAACTTTGTTCAAAGTTGGTCACTTTTTGGGTTAAATCGACCTCGAAAATTGAAAAAACATTTTTTGATTCCAGTTCATGTGTAGTCGTGTTGGGACAAACATGGTGAATGAGACTGTCAAGCTTTGGTTGCTCTTTGCTTTTTTTTCAACTCTTTTCAAGAGTCCGGAGTTGACCAGAATGTGATTTGGTACTTCGTGAAATTTGGCATCTAAATACTTTGATCCTTGGCAAAAATCTAGGCGATTCATCAAGCATCTGCTGGGGTCTGAACGCATCAGATCCTGGTTTCCAGAGGTTCCTCTTTTCTTGTCATCTGGGGCTGAACTTAGCCACATTTTTGACTTTTTGGATTGCTTCTGGAATTGCTTCAAAATCAACACTCGAGTCCTCAGCAGGCTAGATAAGGTTTGCGGTGTCTTAGGGCAAGCCTATAGGCTTCACTGAGTCCAATTTATCCATACACTGGTACTGGAAACAATCAGAAACTGGATGCCAAACTTTGAATGAGTTTAGACGCTGTGGTCATTTTCTGCTAAGAATATATCTTTGTTTTCATGCAATTTGTCGAGTATATCGTTCATGACAACCTTGCGGTTGCTTGCTCAGTTCGGAATGTGTAGGCAGGCTTTTTCTAGAGTGTCCGTGAGACTCTGGCGGATTCTGATGGTTTGTTCCTCAGTATCTGCACCACCAATGTAGTCGTCCACGTAGAAGGACTCGCAAATTGATAGCCTTGTCTGTTCATCGTCTGTTGTGTCGGCGGTGTCTGACAAGACTCGTATGACGTGATAGCTACTTGATGCTATATCTTAGATGGCACGAGTCATCCGGTAGTTCTCAATTGATTTCTCTTCTTTTCTCCAGTAGAGCTGATGTAGATTTCTATCTTGAGGTGTAGTTGTATTTGCCTCTATATCTTGATGATGTCACCAGATAGTGCAATTTAGTAGAATCGGAACCGGACAAGGATGTTGAAGAGGCCTGGCTGCTGCTTGTGACCAACCAGTAGCCAATCATTCAACGACTTTCCATTTGAAGTTGGAGCTGATCCGCTGAAAACAGCTCTGCACTTTGTTGTTGAGTCCGACTTCCAAACTGCACGATGAAATACTTACCGACTGGCAGAAATTGATCTGACACAGGTACCTGCTCGATATGGCTAGTGTCAATCATCTCTTGGCAGAAGTCGTTAAAATGGTCCTTGGCTTCACGGTTCTGTCGAAGCTTCCTTTCATTAGAACTGAATTGCCGGAAAGCTTTGCGTGCTGAGTGACCAATATCGGGCAACCATTCATGGTTGTTTTCGTCATAGATCCCCTGTGATTTAATGATTGGCAATCTCGCCATGGCTCGTCCGTCTGGGCCATACGTCGTAGTCTGATCGAAATATCGGATACACTCAAGTTCGTTGGATGAGTGTTGGGATTCTGGAGATGAAGGAAAATTCCCAAAATCTGTCAAATGTGGATGACTGGCTGTCAAGGAAGTTGATTCCATATCATGGCGAGTGTCTTCGTGTTGTGACTGCGTGATCGGTATCAGCGACACCTGAGACTGTCCAACCAAGGATCGTGTCGGTTAGCAATATAGTTCCTTCCTTGACATTCCGTGACTTCACAATTTGTGTCTGGACGGCTTGTCTAAACAGTAGATCAATTGTGTTGGTCTTGTCGAAAGCTGGATCTGCTAAATTGTAATTGCTCACCTTTCGTAGGTCTGTGGCTGCGATTTGTGAGTTTGGATGCTCGTGATCCGTGATGTTTTCCAGCACCGCACAAGAAACTTTGAAATTGTTACCAGACTTTGGTAGAATTGTGAGACTCATTCGACCATGATTAGACAGCGTTCTTCTGGCTCACTCTAACTATGCAAACTGGAGCTTCTGTTTCTTTGATGTCAAGTCGGTGCATGGCCTGTAGGGTGATGACGTTCGTCTGAGTACATTTGTCAACGAGCTCCCTCAAGTGATGAATTCGACCGTTCTGAGATCGAACTTTGACGTTTGCCATTGCAAGAACTGTGATGGTTCCAGTTCGGTTGATTTGCAGAGCATCTATTGTCGCTGCGAGATGAGGACCCGGCTGACAAGAATTGCCATGAAGAGTTGTAAGATGCTCCTTTTGACATGTCTTGCAGTGATGTTGAAGGACCTCTGCACAGTGATTTGTCATGCCGTGATTTGTCATGCCTGTTGCTAGTCACGTAATTCTTTCTTTCTGACGTTGTCATCAATCTGTATTTCGCACAGTGCCATATTGGATGTCGCTCTCGGCAGTTTTGAACTTTACACTGTGGTAAAGAATAGCCATTCTTATGAGATCCGTTCTTTTCTGTCAAGAACATCTGCTGCTCACGCTCTGGCTTAAAGGATCTGGAATGAGATCCTTCATCCACCTCTAAAGAACTGACTCTGTTGTCTTAGAACACCATGAGTCGATCGAACTCAAAGAGCTTCAGTCCCATCGTTTGCAGTTTCCCATGCCTTCTGAGATTCAGGATCGAGATTCTCGAAGAGAAGGAAATACCATAAATCGTTATCTACTGACCGAAGTCTCATTGATGATTGAGTGTAGCTGACGAAGCTGAGACACATTCTCCGTTCGAACTGCAGTGAATCCGCGACAAAAGCTTTCGAAGGATGACTCGATCGTTTTTGTATCTCTGCTCTAGCATTTGAAGCGCTACCTCGTAGTTGCTGTCTTCAAGTTTATGATGAGCTTAGAAACATGACTCGTAACGCAACTCTTGAGATTCATCAATTTCTGAACCGGTGACAACTTGTCATTGTCATGGACAGTTGACCGAAATTGATCAATGAAGCTTAGAAAGGCAGCGAAATCGCCACTGAAGCTAGGCAGATTGATCTGAGGCAATCTTGGTGTGATCCTTGTAGGTTCAATCTGCATAGTTGCAACAGGGTTGATAGGCTGACTAGATGCGGCTATCGTTCTCTTTACGGCTTGTAGAGTTTGGAGAGCATCATTCCGGGTGTTCTGATATTGATCGAATACTTGATCGTATTCTGCATCACCGGTGATAGCGTCAAGCAGCTCGTGATCAGCAGTTGAGGATTGACTCAAGCAATGCTCAAGTTCGGTTGTTTTATCGCTCAACTCGTCTTGGTTACTATTGAGGCTAGCACAAATGTCACTGACTTGAGAAATTTGCCGTTTCAGAACTCGCAGACAGTTTCTTTAAGCTCGTTTAAGCTTCTCCATGGAGTTAGCGCTGATGGAGTTTGTCTTTCTGTAGTAGGCTTATTCAGTGTGCTTAGTTTCCTTAGGATATGGAGCGGACCAGAAGGAATATTTCGCGATAGCTGGAAAGCGACTGTATCGTATGAAAAATGAATTAATGATGATTTAGTTACAATAAATTGCGGGTAAATGAAATCAATAAGTTATGGGAAAACTAAATTTTTAATTGAGTTTACATGTGAACAAACTATCTTGCCATTTAAAAGATGCTTTGTTTGCTCCGACAGGACCCAACTAATACACTTGGTCCTTTCAAACAATTAAGGCAATATATATGGATCACTTTCAGTTTTCCATGCGAGCTCGTAGACTGTGAAGTAATCAGATCTTTTTCGAATTGGCCATGCAAAGGCAAAATTATTTAATGCCTGTCAAATGTACCTTACGCATGTTAAACCCAACGGTTGGGATTTGATCTTCCTGGAAATGACCGGAAGTCAGGACTGTAACAAATGTTGTTTTTCCACTACATTGCAAGCCGACCAATGTCATCTCCATTTCTTGTTTCCAGAACAAACCTCTGAGCCAGTCAAGAAGAGAACGAAAGAAACGAAGCATTTTGAATCTGTAATCGACATTCAGATGTAAAAGTGCTTCGCAAACACAAGCGAGAGAGCGGTAAATAGCGCTAAAGGGTAACTAAAAGAGAAATAAGGGAAAAACAAGGTACTCTTACACAGAAGCAAAACTGAGCTTCGCACCACTTGCGATTTAAAAATGATGATTGAAAGAATAAAAACTGAAAAAAAATGCATAAGCCCAAAATATCCGGAATGAAATAACAAAAAAAAACACTTTATTTGCCAGTTTGAAGTGTTTTCAAATGTAAATCAAATTTAGATAACAATTATTTTCAAATACACACAAATTTAATGGGTGCCGGACATCAAGCCGACGGGACTTCAAGCCGAATCGTAAAACAAGGGACTTCAAGCCGAAAATTTTCTCATTAAGTCATGAAATAAGGTTTATTTGAAAACTTTTTAAGAAATTTCTCAATTTCATGATCTTTATTCGGTAATTATAAGCGTTTTCATAAAATTTAAGCCTCCAAATGATGTTTAGGAAAGTTGAATAATAAAACACGGTTGAAGGTTTTTTTTGTTTATAATTTATGCATTTCAAGAAACGGCTGATATTATTAACTGATGCCAATCCTAAGTAATTCATTGTCATAAATAACGCTTATTATGGACTAAACTACCCTAATATTTTGAAAAGCAACGTACTACAGATGAAAAAATTCCCTTCGACTTGAATTACCGTCTGCTTGTTGTCCTAGACCCAAATTTAATACACTTCTCCTTAACACGATCAATTACAAATTCAGAAACTCAGGCGAATTTGGTTTCCTACTAAATTCTTATAACTCTATCCCCGCCCTGGTAGCGTTTAAAAGATCTTTTCCTTTCCGTTCCATCTTCGTTACATCATATGAATGTAAAAAAAAACACTTTAATTGCACATCGAAATTAATTTAATACACAAGTGTATGTCAAATGTTTTCTGTTTTTTTTTTCTATCAGTTCATAGAAATATCATAACATCATTAGATATACATAGTTACAATAACAATAAACAAAACAAAATCTTTCACAATTATCGATGATTACTTTTCACCTGAGAGCTTCAAGGTGGTTTTAAATATAAATGTTATTATATAAACTTGAAGCTTTTCCATGAAACTTTACCAGGAGTTGCCACAGAGGGGTCTTCTTTAAATAATAATAAATAATAATTCTTGAATTTTATCTTTGCTTTTCTGTATGTTACTATGTCTTTAAAGTTGACTTTATCATCTGTTAGTTTGTTCCAGATTATGACGGACTTTTTAAAGAAGGAATTTTCTATGTTTTGCCCATTGTATCTGTCGCCAAAATATAATTTTTTGTTTCTTGTATTAGTATCTATTTGGTGGTTATCATACTCAATGTTATAATAGGCTGGCAATAATTGATGTTGTATTTTCCAAAAGTGACATAATATTTTATAGTCCAGAAACATTGTTACTGGTAATATATTGTGTTTAAGCTTCAAGTCTGAAGGTGAGTCGTATTTTGCACGATCGCAGCAAGTTTTTACTGCCCAGCTTAACTGTTTTTCCAGAGATATCATTAGGTTAGCGGATATTCCACTTAAAAGAATTGCTGGGTAATGCAAATGACTAATTACCAGTGCATGCATTATCAAGAGTCTTGTTTTCACTGGCAATGGCTTTTTGATTGATTGAAGTGTTTTTATTCCGCATGCCATTTTCCTGAGAATATTTTTGATTTCATCTTGGAATGTGAGAAACTGATCTAAAACTACTCTCCTAGGTATTTAACATTGGTTTTTTTCTCAATTATTCTGTCATCTAGAGTTATACTATACTTTTCATCCTTTTTCCTTGAATGTTTTTTTTGCTGAAAACGATGAGTTCTGTTTTTTTTTGCATTCAATTGAAGTGAGTTTTAAAAAAATAATTTAACAACAGACTGCAATTGGTTTTGAGTGCTTTAATAGCTTTTTGTGGATCATTATTTTCACAGAATAGTAAAGTATCATCCGCATATTGAACTATTTTACATGTTTTCTCAATTTGTTTGTTGAGATCGTTAATGTAAAGATTGAATATTAGAGGGCCAAGGACAGTGCCCTGTGGGACACCCTGCTCAAGTGCAATCTAATCGGATTCGGTGTTGTTAACAATTGTTTTCTGGCTTCGGTTGGTGATAAAGGAATTGATCATTTCTATAGCTTCTTCGGAAAAGTTTAACCGTTTTAGTTTCTGCTAAAGATAAATATGATCAATAGAATCAAATGCTTTAGAGAGATTCAGTAAGGAACATGCTACAGTTTTTTTTGTTGTTTATTGCTTCTCTGAATGCTTCAGTGCAATAAAGAATAGCGTCGATTGTTGAATATGATGTTCTGAACCCAAACTGGGTATTACTTAGTAATTTTTGGGATATCAGATATTCGTTGATTTGTTTATATAACAATTTTTCAAAAAATTTTTAGTGAGCCCCAGTTATAGAGATAGGCCTATAACTTTCTGGTAGTTCTGGATCTTCTTTTTTGTATATTGGTGTGACAATTGCTTTTTTGAGCTTGCAAGGATATGTCTTGTTTTTCAAAAACTCATCGTATAGAGATGTCAGATGTGTGTATATTTTATTGCAGCCATCCTTCAATGCCCAGGCTGGAATTTTGGATCGACCTGGTGCCCTTTGACTATTTAAATTATGTATTTCTTTTTTTACATTCAGCTGATGTGATGAATCGGAATGAAATTTTATTTTTATTTCGAATTTTGCATGTAGAAGTCGGTGAACTTTGCCTGATTTTTGAATTTTTCTCATAAAAGCATCCAAGAGTTGAGAACTTGTAATTTAGCAGGTTCGCCATCTGTAAATTATTGGTTATGAAATCGCCGAAGGAGTTTCTAAGTAATGGAATGAGGTTGGAAGATTTTTTTGAGTTTCTTGTATTGTTTATTATACTCCATTTTTTCGCTTTTTTTCGAGTTAAACAGTTGGGATATAAATTTATCATCTTCGTAGTTTACCTTTGGTTTGTCGTTGCGAATGAAAATAGCCTTCTGTGGGGCACATTCTTTAATGGTGTCAGCAATGTTAGATGTGAGGATGTCGAGCATTATTTCGGGATTATTATTGCTATAGAAACTTCTCCAATTTATAGCTGATAGTTTTTGTTTGAATTTGTAATTGGAGTAATTGGATTTGTCAAATATTTTATGTTTGATTTGTCTTACATTGTTGTTCAACTTAAGTTCTGTAATGAATGCTGTTGCTTGGTGGTCGGTCTTAAATGGTGGTGTGAATACTATTGAATTATTTGTTAGATATTTTATGCCTAGGTCGATGATAATATAGTCAATTAGTGCTTTTGAGTGAGTAGGTGTTAATTTGTTAGTGACGTCCAGATTATATGGTATTAGGATTGTATCTAAAGACTGTTTGTCGTCTTCGTTGAGATAGTTGAGATTGTAATCTCCTAGTAAAATCAGGTTTGAATTAAATGACTGTGCATGGTCAATTGATTTGACTAGATCTTCTAAGAAGTCTGTTTTGTTGTTTCTATTAGGATTGTAGGCTAGGTTTAATAGAGTGGTTCTATCATTTTTGTTGAGTCCGGCTTTAAATTCTAACCAGATGCTATCATACTTTTTGTGCATGCTGCTTAATTCATGTCTTACTTTTGGGTTTAACTTTTTCGTAACCAGTAACATGACCCCTCCACCCTTCAATTTTTTACTTGATTCATAAATTCTATCACATCGGAATAACTTATGTTTGTCATTGTCTATGGCCCATAGTTTATTGTCATTTGTATCATTGAACCATGTCTCGGAAAATCCAAAAATTGTATTATCATTAAAAGTTTTGATAAGTTGTTTGAGATCTGAACGCTTTCTAGCTAAACTTCTTCAATTAAGATGTAGTACTTTTAAGTTGTTGTTGTAGTTTTCCAGTTTTTTGTTTAGTTGACTGAATTTCATGAAGGGTCCTGGATTTGGGTGGATATCCCCTGATATTAAGAGAGTTTTATGAAGGGACCTTTCTTGTTTTTTAAAAGTCTTGCTTGTGTTTTTTATATAATAATTGTAATAGAAATAGCTTATATTAATAAGTATAGTGCAATAACGTTTGTTCGAGTATATTGTGGCAACTCATGGAAAAAGATACTTTCCTTTTCTTTTATTCAGTACCTCATAAGCTACAAATTGATTGCTTTTGCAGAAGCTTATGACAGATATGCTAGTTAAGGCAAAAAGTAACAGCATATCGCTTTGTAGAACAATTATAGTTAAAATTACAATTAACAGTCGTTTATCAAAAAGATAGTCTTAAGTAGTATAACTTAATAATGAAAACCTTGCGAGTAGTTATATGACTGCTGGTTACGATTCAGGATATGGTTATAATTACTATCACAGCCCCATGAGTTGTTGATGAAATTATTTTGACCAGTTTGTCGGCCATGACCAGTTTGTCTGCCATATGGATGCATGCGATCGTTACTATAGGGTCTATTGGTAGACCTATAAACAATTTTATGTTGATAATTGGAAAGCGATTTTTGGTTGGAATTTGCTTTTCCAGTATAATCAGGGGCTGGTTTTACCCTCGGGAGTTTACTTGAGTGTTTGAACACGTATGAGCCGAGGCAATTGCGCAAGAATGGTATACCAATTCATCGTTCAGGTGTATAGTGTCAAAATATAAACTCTGATAGCTCTCCAAGTTTTTGATGTTTGAGTTTAGATTTAGCACCTCAAATCCCGTTGCCGAACCATACATTTCATTCAGAAAACGATTGTAATGATCAATTTTGTCATTAGCATCATCATTGTTAAGTATTGGTGGTATTTTGCAAATAACAATCGAATCTGGTGAAAATTTTGCAGTTATTAAAGCGACAAGTTCTTCATATTTGGCGCTAAATTCATCAATCGTTGAGTAAATTTTTTTTAAGATGGAGTTTGTCCGATCTTGGATTATCACACACTTAAGTTTTTTTTTCACTATATTGGTCAACCACTTTTAATTTCTCAT